CTTCTTCCGATATTTGTTTGACCTTCTCTTCTGTGGGATCACATACATGACGCCTGCGTCTCGCCTGTTTGCATGGTGTTACCCCAGTATCCGAAGAACAAACATTTTCAATATCTATGGGACTTTTGCGGGCACTCGCTAAACTGCTATCATCACCATTACCCTCATCGGAATTACTGCCATCCATGCTGCCACTATCCGAACTAGTTGCAGCCATGATTTCATTTTCCAAACTCATTTGTGAGCGTGTTTTATCGCGTGACCATATAAGTTTGGTTAAAGCCGAAGCAATATAAATACTCTGTTCAGTATGTTCTTTGGGATCCATACGACACAAGAGCGTATACAAGTACATGGCCGGTTTGGGTGCCAAGTTCTTAACCAATGATGGTAAGATGTCAAAAATAGTTTTCGAGCAATGTTTTAGCTGTTGCGTAGCCTGCCAAATAAGTTTAATATGTTCCTCGGTAATTTGGTTTTCAACCGCTAGAAAATTTAAAACAACATGAGCTTGTTTCAAAACTTCGACATGGAGATTGGGACCAAACAAGTGTTGTATTATTTGATTTTCTGTCAACCAATCGCCGATTTTATTGGCCACAACTTCAACTTCTCCCACCACTGATTCGATTTCGCCAAATATATTAATATGAGCATTAATTTGGGTAATGCCTAAAAATAAACATATAAATGTTAAGAAACAATTGTTAAACTCAAATTTACTTAGACTTACCAGCCAATCTCATTGTTAGTGTAGTTGATGTAAAATATTTAAATGCCAAAGCTAAGCCTTCCACATCAAAGCTTACCGAGGCATCTAAGGGGTCACGTACAGCAGACCAAACAAAATCAGCCATAGCCCTTGTGGCAGCTGTTCTTAGATTTTGATCGGATAATTTACACATGTATTGTAAGATTTTACTACGTAATGGTACAAATAATTGTACAATACAGCCGTAATGTAACCATAATTTTATATTCGAGACAGTTGCGGTTATAGCGTGAGCTGTGGTCACTGGTAAATCGGCCTGATCGAAACACAACATCATGGCAGCAAAACCATTCGAATTACAAAACAAACTTGTGTTTCTCAGCAAATATACTGGTATTTCATTGTCATGAAGATCACAAAATATGGACAAATGTTGTACTTCCTCGGTAGAAATATCATCCAAGCGTGCATGAGTACCATGTTTATAGGCTATGTACAGTGGAAAGTTAAGTAAAAATACTTTGGATACGAGTAATAAAAGTTTTTCCACTTCTGGCAGTATCCAAGGTTCTTCGGTATGTTGTGATGTTGATGATGAGGACGACGACGATGCGGCTGATGATGTTGTTGTTGTCGCCGTCAAGGATGAAGATGCTGTCGATGCTGCACAGGAACTTTGTGAACTCTGTACCGAAGAAGTTGCACACGATGGTGAGGCCGTTAGTGATATTGAATTGCTGTTATTATTTGGATTATCATCACCCGGCGATGATAAACCACTACTACTGGCTTTATCAGTAGTTTTTTGTGTTATTTCATCTTTTGTTTTAATTTTATCTAAATCCGTTTCCTTGGTTTCTATGTTATTGTTTTCTTTTTCTTTGGAGCCTGCAGAAGCAGTTGATGCTGTTCCAGCTCCTGATTCTTCGGATTTATCTGTTTGTTTTTCTGTTTGCTGAGCTTGGGCCACAGCTTGTGCGGCACTAGCTGTTATTTTCTTATAATCCTCTATAAGTCTTTTTATGTGTTTCAAATGATGAACCGCCAAATAGATCATTGATTGTATGACTAAATTAAAGCGCTCAAAATTCTTGACATCTCGATATAAACACATACATTGCCTTTGAGGCCAGGCTTGTATGTAACCAAATGCTGTTTCAATTTCACTTTTATAAAGAATCGCATGTTTGGCATCCTGGTTGATAATGCGGGCCTCATCTGAAAAAGAAGAAAATTAAATTATCAAAGATGGAGGTAACACAACATATGTAGTTGGCCAGAAATAGAAAATCTAAAAGATTTCATCTTTTTAAACTGTGTTCTCTATAAATTTCTTATGATATGAAAATTGTTTGGAGGGTTATGCAAAGCTGTTCAGGTACATTTTATTTAGAAGTTATAGAGTAAAGCTAGTTAGATGTTTTCATTTAGATCGAGTCGTCATTCTTCAAGTCCCAAATCACTGTTTGGAAAATATCTACAATCTCTCTTACACAAATCATCAGAAGATCAACTTCTAGGTAAGTAAATCATTCTAGTTACATCAGTAGAATCCTTCTACCGATGTAAATTTTACTCTATCCGAGTTTCTAACCAAAGGATCCTGCAGACATCTCTCTTCCCGAAACTTCACATTATGTCGTTTATATATATGTAAAACAATCAAAATGCTTAATTTTATCACAATTAGTCCATTATTGGACTGTTGAGCTCAACATGTACATTTTTAAAAATTTTAACAAAAAAAAATCTTAAAATTTTTAAATTTAATAAATCTGATAAAAATCTTTAATATCACCGGCGTTTTTTTTTGTAAAATAATTACGAAGCAAACAACAAAAAATCTAAACCCCTCTCTTTTTTCTACTATACCGCCCACTTAACAACACAAAGCCAGTGATTGTACACACACTTTATTTTTGCAGCTAGTAGAGTTCATCATCCAACAAACAACCATTCATGCAACCAACCAACAAACTATCATTTAGATAGCCAGTTCTTTTTTTTTTTGTTTTGCAACTTACACGACTCCAATAATTGTTGAAAATCTGAACAAATATCACACATGTTTCTCGTTTTTGTTAATAGTTTTTCTTTTTGTTTCTTTGCAAAAATCCTTTTGCTAAACAGCTGCTTTTGCCCTTTAGTTGTTTGCCAGTTTAGTGCTCCGTTTTGTTGGGTTTTTCTTCTTCTATTGGAGCCTTTTTGGCGTTTCTTCTTTTACTGCTGGTCTGCTCGTCTTCTTTTCTACTTCGCTGCTGCTGTCGTTGTCTATGTCGTCTCGCTGTCTTCTATACTTCTTCGTCGTCGTCGTCTTCTTCGCTAACTGCATAGAGGATTTTTTCTCCTTTTCCATTCGAATTTTTAGAGGTTTTCGGGGAAAAAACCTTTTTAGATTTTTATAAATTCAGCATCCATGTGCTTGATATTTCTTGTTTCATATAAATTTATTAAAATTCATTCACTATTTTTCTACATGTATATAGTTTTGCAAAAATTTTATTCTCTCACAGATTTTTTCTTCTAACAAACAGTGCAATAGTGTTGTGAAAGTATTTAGTACTTGGATTATTGAATACTAATTATCGAATGTTTGTTTCTTCTTCTTTAATGATTACTCATTACCCAAATACTTTCACTGTTGCATTTTTATACAATAGAATGAAAGAAAGAAAGAATGCAAAAAGTCGACCGTTACTAATTGAATTCAAGATTGTCCAACTTTTTGACACGGTTAAAAGTGACATGCAAAGTTAACGTAGTTGTTGACTTAAATTATCATCACTTTTATTTATTTATTTATTCAAACAAAGTAATATAAAAGCTTTAATAGGCCAATTAAACTATATTACAGAGGCAAATCCTAAATAGCATACATTTTTTAACAAAATTAGACAAACAAGTATAAAATTTCAATTTTTTATCGATTCCTTCAATAAACTTATGAAGTTTTTAAATTCAAAATATTGCATTTTTACTATGGATAAATTAAATTTTTTCTAAGCATTTTAAAACGGTACCAATGGTATTTCTATTTCATTAACTGCACATCACGGTCATTATCCTTTTGCTATTGTCTGGCAACTCCATACAGCTGATATATCAGCTGAAATATATTTCTTATCAACAGTCGCGGCTACAAAAATCCATTTATGTGAAAATTATTCTATATGATATATTTCGAATCTTCAGATCATCTTAGCATAAGAGATGATCACAAAAAAAACTGAAAAACGATTTGATTACCAAAACCTCGTTTTCAATCATTTATTAATTACAGTTCAACCTATAACAAAAATTCTATATTCACTTACTATTTCTTTTTAATATCATACACAAAAAAATATTTTTTTGATTCAAATACAAAATAAATTGAAAATTTTTTGAAATTTGTTTTTTTTTTCTGTGATGATTGCAACTAGGGTTCTATAGTTGAAACGAAAAGTCGACTTTTCGACTTTTCGACTTTTTGCATTTAGTTAAAAGTCGACTTTTCGACCTTTCGACTTTTTCCATTTTATGAAAAGTCGATTTTTCGACTTTTCGACCTTTTTCATTTATTTAAAAGTCGACTTTTAGACTTTTCGACTTTTAGTATTTTATAAATGGTCGACTTTTCGACTTTTCGACTTTTTCCGGCTTTTCGACTTTTTCCGACCTTTTTCGACTTTTCGACTTTTTCCGACTTTTTTCGACTTTTCGACTTTTTCCGACTTTTCGACTTTTTTCGACTTTTCGACTTTTTTCGACTTTTCGACTTTTTTCGACTTTTTTCGACTTTTTCCGACTTTTTCCGACTTTTTTCAACTTTTCGACTTTTTCCGACTTTTCGACTTTTCGATTTTTTACGACTTTTTGACTATTTTCGACTTATTTCGACTTTTTTTTGACTTTTTTCGACTATTTTTTACTTTTTTCGAGTTTTTCCGACTATTTTAGAGTTTTTGACCTCTTTTCCACTTTTTTAAAATTTTCGTCTATTTTCGACTTTTCGACTTTTTTCGACTTTTTCCGACTTTTCGACTTTTTTCGACTTTCTTCGACTTTTTTCGACTTTCCGACTTTTCGACTTTTTTCGACTTTTATTTACAAAGTCGACTTTTCGACTTTTTCATAGACGATAGTCGAGTTATCAACTTTTTTGGAACAAAATAGTCGACTTCGACTTTTCGACTTTTTTCGACAAAAAGTCGATTGTTCGATTATTCGAAAGTCGATTTATAGAACCCTAATTGCAACCAAAACATGTTTTGCCATTTTATCATTAAAAATATTGGCAACTCTGTCTGCTTCACTTTTTCATTTGTGCTTCTTCTTACTAACAATGATAACAAACTATAAAACGCAGTGTAAAAAATTAAAATTTTTAATAATATTCCTCATATTTTTAATTGAAAATGCTGGTAAATTATAAATTAATCATTACTTTAACATAAATAATTCAAATTTTCCACAAATTGGCGAAAGTTATAAAAGAAATAATAAATTTTTCCAAACTCTATGAAGAAGTTGATGAAAAAATTGCAACCCCCTTGCATTTGTGTTTACATACAAAACGCAAAATTGCTTTTTTTAGCAAAAAATATTAAAAAAATCGTTTTATAAAAAGTGTTAAATTTTAAAACAAAATTTATTTCATTATATTTAAAGATTGCCTGCATCGTACCCTTAAACACTTTGAGCTAATTCACAAGGACGATGTCGAACATCGAATTGTGAAACGGGGTGCTAAGCACAGCAACAACCCTTACAACACTATCAAAGAGGTGGAGTTCAAAACATTGGGTAAGAACTTCCGTTTGATATTACATCCACATCGTGAAGTATTACACAGCAAATTTAAGGCCTACACAGTGGATGGTGACGGCAATGAGACCATTGTACATTTGGGTAAGTTACAATTAACCTAGAAGAATGATATTAATAAAAAGCAATGAAAATATTTAATACAGATCATGACAACTTTTTTACGGGTCGTGTTTTTGGAGAAATTGATTCTCAAGTTAGAGCTCACATAGAGAATGGTTTAATGACCATGTCCATCAATTTACCAGATGAAACATATCATGTGGAGGTAAAAGACAAATTATTAAGTAAAATTTCAAACAAATCTAATTATTTACTTTTAATTTCTAGCCCTCCTGGCGTCATTTGCCTACTGCCAAAGAAAATACCATGGTGGCTTATCGTTTATCTGATGTCAAAGTAAAACATCCGCATGGCGATGAAAAGTCAGGTGCAGCTCCCTTAACCTGTGGTTATGTTAAGGAAGGTTTAGGTAAGTATTTTGCAAATTCTTTTTTTGTATTATAAGAAATCTAATTTTATATTTTAACTAGAACTTGAAACCGATGACGAAGATGAGGAAGAATCGAAAAATTTAGATAATGACAATAATCGCCATAACTATCATGAACATCAACAAACCAATCTTTTGCCTTTAACTCACAATCAATCCCACAAAAGAAGCAAACGTCAAGCTGACCAATATGAATATACACCCACAAAAACTCGTTGTCCTTTACTTTTGGTGGCCGACTATAGATTCTTTCAAGAAATGGGTGGCGGCAACACCAAGACCACTATAAATTATTTGGTGTGTTTTTGTAAACATGTTTGTTTTGTAATTGAATTTTAATCGATTTTTTTTTTTTTGCAGATAAGTCTTATTGATCGTGTTCATAAAATTTACAATGATACTGTTTGGCAAGATCGTTCCGATCAGGAAGGTTTTAAGGGCATGGGTTTTGTTATTAAAAAAATTGTGGTTCATTCAGAGCCCACACGCCTAAGAGGTGGAGAGGCTCATTATAATATGATTAGAGAGAAATGGGATGTTCGCAATCTTTTAGAGGTAAGTGTATTTCATATGTTTACCGTTTTTATTTTAAATTAAAATAATACTCATTTTATGTATTTAAATATTTAAATTTTCATCATATTTTTATCTCTTTAATTATTCTAAATAAAAACTCATTTGTATGCTAATCTAAAATTAAGGTATTTTCACGTGAATATAGTCATAAAGACTTTTGTTTAGCGCATCTTTTTACGGATTTAAAATTTGAAGGCGGTATTTTGGGTTTAGCTTATGTTGGCTCACCTAGACGTAATTCTGTTGGAGGCATTTGTACACCAGGTTAAACAAAATATCTGAAATTTCATATTTCGTTTTTTTTACAAATTATGGTTCATTTTGAATTTAGTTTTTCTTTTTTTTTTGTTGGGTCAAATTTTAATTTTTAAAATTTTTTATATTTTGTTCTTCAGTTATATTAGACTACAACGACCTATTCGAAAAACCTATAAACCGGTAGTTAGTGATAATTTAAAATTTTAAGGACAATTTATAATTTTCAGAATTTTTTATATTTTGTTTTTTTGGTTATTTTAGACTACAACGACCTTTCGCAAAACCTATAAACCGCTAATTAGTGATAACGAAAATTTCAGAAAAATTTGGAATTTTTAGTGAATTTTTTTGAAATTGTAATGTTTAGTGAAAATTTGAATGTTTAGTGATTTTTTTTGAAAATGTAGTATTTTTAGTGAAAAAGTGTAATTTTTAGTGAAAAATTTTAGTTTTTGTAAAAATTTGAAATTTTAATCAATATTTGAATTTTTAGTGAAAATGTTTATTTCTAGTTAATTTAGTGAAATTTTTAGTGCAATATTGAATTTTTGTGAAATTTAATTAAAATTTTTATTAAAAAAAAAATATTTCTAGTGAAAATTTATAATTTTTAGTAAAAATTAGGCTTTTAAATCAAATTTTGAATTTTAAGTGTCATTTAAATTCTAGTGACAATTTTGAATTAAATATGGATTTATTTTTAGTGGAAAAGTGAATTTTTTGTGTAAATATTTTTTTAAACACAGTTAGACACAGTTTATTTTTTATTATAATTTGCACTTTCTTTTTACTTAAACAAATCTAAATTTAATATTTGCAACCATTTTATACAAAATATCTCCCTTTTATACCCATAGAATATTTTAAAAATGGTTATACGCTCTATTTAAATTCCGGTCTGAGTAGTTCACGCAATCATTATGGTCAACGTGTTATAACACGTGAAGCCGATTTAGTCACTGCCCATGAGTTTGGTCATAATTGGGGTTCGGAACATGATCCCGATATACCGGAATGTTCACCTAGTGCCTCACAAGGGGGCAGCTTTTTAATGTATACCTATTCCGTTAGTGGCTATGACGTTAATAATAAGGTAAACAGATTTTGTTGCAAATAACATTTAATTTTCGTTAAATGACAATTTTTTCTCTTTAGAAATTCTCTCCCTGTTCTTTACGTTCAATACGCAAAGTTTTACAAGCCAAATCGGGTCGTTGCTTCTCCGAACCCGAAGAATCATTTTGTGGCAATTTGCGTGTTGAGGGTGATGAACAATGCGATGCTGGTCTTTTGGGTACCGAAGATAATGATGCCTGTTGTGATAAAAACTGTAAATTAAGACGTAATCAGGGCGCTGTATGCAGTGATAAGAATTCGCCCTGCTGTCAGAATTGTCAGTTTATGCCGGCGGGTGTCAAGTGTCGTGAACAAGTCTATGCAACTTGTGAACGTGAGGCTAGATGTACGGGTACCCATGCCGAGTGTCCAAAATCACCTGCAATGGATGATGGTACTATTTGTCAGGAGAGAGGACAGTGTCGTAATGGTAAATGCAGTAAGTATTGTTTAAGAGAAACATTATTAGAAGTTGGGATTTTCTTCAATAATTTGCTGTTTCCTTTAGTACCCTATTGCGAAACCCAAGGTCTACAAAGTTGCATGTGTGATATTATACAGGATGCTTGTAAAAGGTAGTTAAAAATTGTTTAAAGTTTATTTTATAATGCAATCCGATTATTTACACATATTTGTTTAACTTCTTAGATGCTGTCGCATGAGTATTAATGAAACCTGTTTTCCTGTGGAACCGCCAGATGTTTTACCAGATGGTACTCCCTGTATACAAGGTTTCTGTAATAAGGTGAGTTTAAGGCGTTTAAATTTAGTTGAAAAATATTCCTATATTATTTAACGTCTTTCTACAACAAAGGGTGTTTGCGAAAAAACCATACAAGATGTGGTGGAACGCTTTTGGGATATAATCGAGGAAATTAATATTAATAGAGTTTTGAGATTCTTAAAGGATAATATTGTTGGTAAGTATTATAATAAACTAATTTTAAAATAAACATTCAAGATAATGTTAATGAAATTTTAATTTACAGTTGCCGTTGTTCTTTTCACTTCCATCTTTTGGATACCGGCCAGCTGTGTTATTTCGTATTTTGATCGTAAAAAATTACGCCATGAGTTGAAACAAATCGATTGGAGCCAAAAATTAGATTTAATACATCCCAGTGATAGGCGTAGAGTAATACATATAAGGTAAAAACTTAAAATTCAGCTATAAATTTTCCGATTAATGAGAATTTCGTTTTCTTCTTTAGAGTACCAAGACAAAAAATTTCCGTAGCGCGTATGTAATCGCCGTAAACATTAAAATTAATTTTATTATAAAATAATATATGTATTCATTATTTTAAATTTTAATCTATTTATGATTAAATCTCGTTGAAGGCTCAAATGTCTTTTAATATTAAATAAAGCGAATTTTCCATTAACTTTATGACTTAAATTTGTTTATAAAATGTTTCAAAAGTTGTTGTTGAAATGAAATATATGGATCCGAAAATTGGAAATTTTGGGGAAAATTTAAAAATTTTTGGATTTTTTGTGAAAATTTGATTTTTTTTTTTTTTTTTTTTTTTGAAAATCTGACAGAAGTATTATTTGCAAAGTTTTCCACACCCACAAAATCTAATCGTTCAATAATACATTTATAGATTTTATAAAGAAGTAAATTTACAAAAATAGTTTTTTTAATTACATTTATTTTTTAAGTAATTTTTTTAATATTACATACTTATTAACTTAAAGTGTACATTTAGATTTTTGTGATTACAATTCTTTTTTCTGGGAAGAATTTTGTTTTTACTTTTCTTAAAAGGGGACTTACAAATTGTATACAAAAAAAAAAAAAACTTAGAAGAAAAATTATATTCAAAATAAAGCGGAATAAGATATTTCTTCTTTATCAATTTTTTCAAAACTACTTGAATTATAAAGGGTGGTATGTTTAGTTTTATGTTTTGTGAAAAGTGGAGGAGGAGCAGGCTTAAATCATGGTCACCAACACAGTTGATATCTGAATTTTCTAAAAGATTGTTTCATTTAGTATGAAATTTTGTCCTAATCGCAGAAACAAACAAATAAAATGCTGATCTGGTGACCGTGATTTATTCTAAGGAGCAGGATTACTTCTTTTTGCTATTTTTACCGTTTTGTTGTGGTGGTGGTTGTTCATCATCTTCATCGTCCTCATCAACATCATCTTCATCCTCGTTATGCCATTCCTCCTCAACCATTTCGTGAACTAAATGTTGACCACAGATGTATACGGGACCGGTACCTTGAATAAGTTTGAAGGTAACCGAATCACTGGGGAATTCTAAATTGGGACACAATGTACGGGTTTCGCCAGCCTTCAAGACAGCAATGGGAATTTTAATAGTTTCCTTTTCGTAGCCCTTAACTTCAGCCTGCAAAGGAAAAATAAACAAAACATTATTTAATACAGTATTCAATATAGTGGAGAAAAAAGATGTGGCATCTCTTTGGCATCATCACACGTTTTCATTCATTTGTATGAAAAATTGTTGTTTTACCTGTACAACATTGAATTCGCCGCTTTTGGCATCAGCACCCAGGCTTATTTGTTTAATAATCAATTTTTGATCCTGCACATCTTTGTCAGTTTCAGCAACTTCGAATTGGGCCAAAGGATCCTTTTCGCTTAATTCAACACCTTTAAAAATGTGAAAAATTATTTATTTATAATTTTAATATCAAGGTTATTTGTTTGTCATGCTGCCGGTAGACATTTTTGATTATCAATTCGCCGGCCGCATCAAACAAATACAATTAATTTTCCAGTCGTGTGTATTTTATATTTTTTGGTTGTACTTACCGTAGAATGATTCTGTTTCCATTTTTATATGTATATTAATTTAAACTAAAAATTATTTGATAAATATACTTTTGTTGATATTTTATATACAACTGTACAAGTTTTCTTCTAAAATAAATTTGTTTTACACGTGCCACTCGCCACAGATATAATGACCATCTCACAGCAAAAAAACACGAAGAACACAAAAATCACAATCGCAAAACTTGGCACCTCTTATCGAATTGCCAACCTAATTTGTTTGATGCTCTGGAAAAAGTGATGCCAATATGTAAAATTATGTAATATAAAATGCCTAAAATACCTATTAAATATGTATTGTTGGAGAGTACAAAATATTTATAATAAAACTTGATTTAGAAATTTTGATTTAAATGAAAATCTCCCATAATAAAATATTAATAAACTTTTGTTCAGCGACAAAAAGACAATTTTTCTTAGAGTACTATAAAAGTAATTACAAAAAGTGGAAAACTTTTTAAATTCATACAGAATAATAATGTATATCTTGTTATTTTATTATTGAAAAGCTTGTTTTTTTATTAAAAAATTTTAAATTTGATATGGCAATGTTTAATTATTTTATTATGAGTGTGTGCCAATCGGTAACAATTTACTTGAAAATGTAAATTTTTGATAGATATGAAGTGAATAAAATTTTACTAGCTCATCGGGCTACATAAATTTTTGACAATTGAAAAGAAAAATTTGAAAGTACAAAAAATAAAATATTTTATAATTTTAGTTTGTCATACATTTGTGATTGTAGAAATTTATTTTAAAAATAAAAAAATCAATAAAAGTGTTTCTTTTATTAAAATAAATGCAGATTTTCTTGTGAAATTAGTGACAATTGTCAAAATTTAATGTAATCAAAAAAAGATTTCGTTTGGCACAGCAAAAGTGATAATATTTTCCACCATAAGAAAATTTTATTTTACCACAGAACTTTGCTACCGTTTGGCACACAGTCTATGTACAAGATTTCTCTATTAAAATCTATTTATAAAATTCTAAACCAATTACGGAATAACAATTCTCATAACATATAAATAACTCATCTGGCAGCACTTTTCTCAAAAACGTTGGCATTGCCATTTTACGAAACACGAAGACAAAACGAAATTGCCAAACATTTTCGATTCTCTGCTTTACCCCCGCTTTACCGGCTTTGCTTGTTCTGCTGCACAATTTTTTTCTTCTTCGTAGTCGCTGTGGTGGAAAAAAATTCATCATTTTTTGTGTGCAAATAACACGAGTAACGTGAACAGTTTTATTATAAAATTTAATCCAAAAGAATCCATAAAATCACAATGTCTGACGAATCATTCTATGGTAAATATAAATTCTGTTAATTTCCACAATAAAATAATGTTATTATTTGATAAATTGTCAACGATTTCAGCGACGAAAAATTATCGCAAAAATGGCGGCTAGAAAAATGTACAATATTTTTTGTAATTGCAAAAAACTGAATACAACAATATTTTATTGAATTTGGAAAATTATATAGAAAATTGTGTAGAACCTATTAAATAATAATTTGTTTGTATTTTTTTAGGTGTTACTTTAAGCGGCGAAAACAGCTCCGTCGAATGGGAAGTGTTATCCAACGATGAAGATTATCCCCGCGGACAAAAATTAATCATCAGACAAATTCTTTTGGGCGCTGAAGCAAAAGAGGATGAATTCAATGTTGTAGAGGTAAGTTTTCCATTTTTTTTCATTTACAAGATGTACTTTTTTTAAGGCAGGGAATGAATATATTGGGGATACTGATGCAGTTTATGTTATTTAGTTCAAACAGGAGGAGGGTTAGTTAGTGTGTATATCCATATAACCTTGTTATTTTTTTATGCAAGACAAGAAGTAGTCGATTTCAGATGGTTGGTTTGTTTGGTATGTTAACCTCACTCATTGTCATTTGGTGGCATTTTTTTTTTCTTAACATTATTTTGTGTATTGTTCTGTTTTGTATGTACAATATTTTTTATATTGTACACATATGCCTAGCATTTATAAGAATATAAGCGTCATTAGTATGTCTTCCTTGAAAAATTTTTTTTATTCATTACTTCTACCACTTACTGATTTAAAGATTTTTGGTCTTCATAATGTAAATCTTTGTGAAAATATCCCTGTAGAGGTTAATATTGAAATATTTAAATTTGTATCTTATAAATCTAGAAAAAATTCCCAACTAACTGTGGTTTACAAATAAAAATATTTTCATTTTGGCGCCAATATCTTAAATTTTTATTTCGTTTATAGTAAGCAATATTTTTTTTTAAATACCTATATCTTTAGTTAGAGGTATCTTTTCTTTAGTTAAGCCACTAAACCTTTGCTAAACCTTATGTAGTTTTATATTCATGTTTGTCTAGCTTAAAATGATATTTTAACTTCCGGTTGTGAGTAATGTTTAAAAACAAACAACAATACAGTAATAGCAATAAAAACAATTAAAGCAAAGGTAACAAACAGCATGGTTTTTCTTAGATTATACTTTTATACATTTTCCATGTGCTAAGTACAGTTTTGTTTACTTCTTAAACTAAAACTAGAAAAAGACCTTTTGAATCACTATTGAAGCCTGTAACATTATAGTTTTTTGCTTTATTTTAAAATTTTCCATGTGCTGTTTTCTGTTTGCATAAGGCTTTAAGTGGAAAACTATTTTAAAGATTTTCAAAAGCAGGTAAATTTCAAATTGTCATTGAAGGGAGGATTAAAATGAAGGATTAGTTAGGATTTCATAGGAATTAACAAAATGAAGCATTTCTGTGATGTAAGGATCTACTTGGTATACATATTTTGTTAATTTAGAAAATAATATATTTTCTAAAGATTATTCTTGTTGAAATGTATGGTACTAATCATTTCTCAAGGGATAGTCTATCCCAATAGTTTTTATTTGATAAAATCTAACCGATTTCGATAGTCGATAGGTCGTTTTATATAAAGTATTAGAATTAAAACATGTAGAATTGAAACAACATGTTAAAACTGAATCATTACTGGTTTAATGAATTATAATTTTTAACATTTTACGATGGTCTAGTATATACCAATTTACCGCTTTAAAACTTCCAACGTTTTCATAAATATAAAAAGTACATCATCTTTATAAACATTTAAAACACAAACTTTTATTTATAGCTTTATAAAGTATATGTTCACAATATATGTATATAGCAGAAAGTTTATAAGTTTCGATCCAGCGAAATATTACTCTAATATAATTTAAACTTAATTAAAAACATCCCTGCTTTTAAATAAAATTTTCGTATTAACATAAATTTTTATATGAAATCGTTTTTTTTTTTTTTTTGTCTTAAACTTAAATTTACTATTTATCTATTACATTATACAAAATTATCTAAAAAACACATTTATTAAATGTCACACAAATCTTTCTTATCTTATATAAGGAACTGTTTTTGTACATTTGCATTACTTATTTTAAACTTCCTGATGTTCACTTGTATTGTCTATAGCACTTAGTCTAGGTTTTGTTTCCTCTACAAGTTCTGCAATAGATTTGCTAAACTTAAACATAGATTTCTCTTTAGGATGTAATCTACAAATAACACCGGCAG